TGCTGCGCTGGCAGTGGACCAGCAGCCTTGCTAGGTCTGATGTAGTCAGTGTTGCCAATGTTGATGCAATCATTCTGAACTTTTGTTGTGATGTTTTCCTAGTGAAACTCTTGCCAATTTTCCCCGTGAACTAGCAAGCAGTGTTAGCACTCGGAAACGACTAAGGAACGAACGAACGCTAAGATCACTCTTGCCCCGTGCCTAGCCCGCAGTCTAGCTCCCGTTGCACGAGTTATCTCCGCACTACAAGCTAGAGGATACACTGCTGGCTGGGGGTTTCAAGAAGAGCGAGTGTGATCACAGCTTGTTCCTACTGCAAGAGAAGGAGCAGTTTCTCATGCTCCTAGTGTATGTGGACGGCATCCTGCTCTTCTCTGCGTCGTCTGCAATGATTGAGCGTGTGGAGGAGATGCTGGAGATGCAGTTCAAGTGCTCGAAGATGGGAGATGTGAAGTATTACCTAGGGATGCATGTGGAGAGGGACCTTGACAAGGGAGTGTTAAGGTTGCACCAGAGGAAGTATTGTGAGGGGCTGGCTGAGAAGTATGGGCTGCAAGATGGAGGAAAGCCAGCCACCCCACTGCCCTCGGGGTTCACTGTGGAGCCCTGTGCTGATGAGGAGGTGGTGGGTGAGAGTGACAGGAAGCTGTTTCATTCCATGGTGGGGGCACTCAATTATGCGGCTATCCACACGCGGCTTGACATTGCCTTTGCTACATCCAGGCTTGCAAGTGTGGTTTCACGCCCCAGTCATGAGCAGCTGGAAGCGGCCAAGAGGTTGGTCCACTATGTGAGTGCAACGGCATCAGTGGGTTTGGAGTACAGTGCTGTGAGACAGAGGCTGCAGTGGTGTGCTTTTGATTTGAGCAAGGGGGAGATGCTCCTGACCGGCTACACCGACGCTAGCTTCAACTCTGTGAAGGCGGATGGCACCAACATTAGAGGCTATGTGTGCCTGTTTGGAGGTGGTGCAGTGAGCTGGCGCAGCAAGAAGCAGAACGAGGTGGGGCAGTCCTCGTGTGATACAGAGTACATGGCCCTGCATCATGGGGCAAAGGAGGTAGTGTGGCTGAGGCGTTTGTTGGAGGAGATCGGAGTGTGCCAGAGGGAGCCGACTGTGATTTTCTGTGACAATGAGTCGGCTGTGAAGCTTGCAAAGAACGCTTGCCTTCATGGGCTGACGAAGCACATCAGGCCTAAGTGGCACTGGGTGAGGAGGCTCCTGGACAAGGAGGTGCGATTGGAGATTGTGAAGACCCATCAGCAGGCGGCTGACATTCTCACCAAGCGCCTGGCTGAATCCGAGCATTGGAAGGGCATGAAGCTTGCTGGGATGAGTGTGCATTGAGGGTGCATGATTGAGCTATGGCATGTGGGATGATGGTAGGCAGCCAGAGGGGGAGTTTCTTATGTGATGCTATCACTTGCATTCACGTCTGTCTGCCTCCCATCACATGTTCGTGCGTTGCATGCGTGGTGTGAGCGTGTGCAGGAATTTGTGTTTAGTGTGGTTTGGATTTTCTGAGTGTGTGTGAAAGTTATTTGGCTTGAGCAGATATCTGAAGTGACCCCTCTGCTCAAGAGCTTTCCGACGAACCAAGTATCGCTTCAATCGGAGCACGAACAAGAAAGTTACAAACGTTGGAAGTTCGTATGCTTTTGATATTTGGTTGTGGTGACTATGGGAAGTTGTGGGGTTGACTCCGTAATGGGTACAGACTTTTGGGGGTTGGGAAATTCGTCAACATCACTGTAGATGCTGCCAAGTAGTTGGGAGGAGCCAAACCAGGTTGGCAAGTGTGGCCAACTTGGGTGAGGTGGATTGTGGAGGTTGAGAAAGTGACAAAGGTCAAAGTTGGGGTTGCCTAGAGAGAGGGGAATTGTGTGGCATGGGGTTTCCTTGGTTGGGGACTCCCTTGGGACCTCCCCTCTCGTCCTTCTCATCCCCTCCTACCTGGTTTCTAGCTACTCTAACTTTCTTGTGAAAACTTTTGAGACGATTGTGATTGAGTTAAGATTCTATGGCAGCTTACCCCCTAGTGCGCCGAAATTCATAACTCAAGAAATGCTTCATCTTATTGTACGATTCAAGTTGGGAATTGTAGCCACAAACTAGGGCTACAACATATCTGAGTTTGGTGAAGTTTTGACGGTGCAATTTTTGTCGACGGCGTTTATTGTGAAATCGACTTTTCTGTCCAGAAACTAGGCCCAACGATTTTGAGATATTTCGGCTCCTAATCTTCATGGACTCCGTCGTTAGTCTCTAACAAAAATGGCAAAGCCGCTTCCTCTCCTGGAGAAAGCCGACCCCCAAGTCGCCTCTCTGCTGCTGACCCGCTGTATCTCCAGGCGGGTGGCGTACCTCACTAGGACAACACCGCTCCACCTCCTGCCTCGCGACACCTGGAGTCAGTGGGGGATGGACTTGCTTACGACGCTTTTGACAGCATGCGGCATACGCGTTCCAACCTGTCGCTCCGAGCAAGCTCGTGTTTGGGCGCAGGCTTCGCTGCCGTCGTCGCTGGGGGGAATAGGCATTACGGACCCCTTAATTGAAGGGGTGTACGGTTACGCGGCAAGCTTCACGCAGGCCGCACTTTTCCTTGCATCACTGGAGTGTGCCCCCCGTGGGGCGCTGACGCAGGCACGGGACCACATGTTGCTGCCTGCCGACGTCACCACGCCTCTCCACGCGTGGCTTACTGAGTGCGAGGCAGCCTTGCCCCTCGACGCACGGGAAATCCTGGAGAAAGAGCGGCTGGAGCGGTCTGACATTAGACTCCAACACGCCCTGGCTTTACAGGTACACAGGAGCCGTTATGCCATGCAGGTTCAGGAGACACGGCAGATGTCACCGAACCCTTTGTACGGCCACACACATCGGATGTACTCACTGACGGGTTACGGGACCGGGGATTGGCTGACGGCTATCCCTATTGCGGCAAAGAGGAGGATAGGGCCCATTCACTTCTCCAACGCCGCGCGCTTCCGGCTGGCCTTCCCTTTCTCCACGCCGAAAAACTGCGATTGTTCTGATCATACAGCTATCACGGACCCCCGCCTCCCCAACCACCTTCTCCGCTGCGGCACGGGCAAGCACCGCATCAACACCCATAATAAGCTGCGGGACGCGTGTATTAGCATGGCCCAGGACGCGGGGTTCATCGTTCACAGCGAGACAGCAGCTTACTGCCCCGTTGAGGAACAGACCGCCGATTTCACAATGACTGACAGAAGTAGCGGTGCTGTCTACGTATGTGACGTCACAATTACATACCCCATTAGCACTCGAGACCCGGAGGCACTGAAGGGAAGGGGCTGGGCAGCAAGGGAGCAGGCCGACAAGAAGATCAAGCATTACGCTGCCCGGCCGGAGACGGTGAATTTCTTCCCTCTAGCGGTGGATACCTACGGCTGCCCCTGTGCTGAGGTGCCAGTCTTCCTGAAACTCTTGGCGGACACTGCAGCTCGGCGCCACTTCAACGCCAACTCCAAGTCATTCTACGCAGCTAAGTTCCTGCATCAGTTCAGGCAACGCTGGTCTGTGGCCCTACAAAGGGCCCAATCCGTGGGTCTCCTGCTCAAACTAGGGGAGGCAGCGGCAGTAGAGAACCCGCCTGTGAGGGGGATCGGGGATGAGTTATGTTATAGTCACAGTAGGCTTCAATGTGCCTAAAACGAAAGATAGAGTGCATAGTCGGATTTCTGCACAGCGGCTTTAAACGTTCATAGCGATCTGCTCACAACTCCAAATGACTTCATTCAACTTGAATCTGGAGCGCCTTATCGTTGCCTACACTAGGCAATTTAGATCGCACGATTTCATCAAGAATTGACGACACAGCGTCGGTTTGAACGAACGGCACTATGGCAGCAACATAGTCTTAGAACACAACTTAGGAAGAGTTAGCAAGGGTTACGAGTTGGGAATGACTCCCAGCTCCTACAAACCCCAAGAGCCGAGGTACAGTGATGTGGAACAGTGCCACACTGTCCCCAACCAAGAAGGGTCTCGAAACTACCCTTCACAAGGGCCTACACCAACTGAAATGTTACACTACACAAAGTAATGTAACTATCTTCAATATCTTGAGGTGTACCCTTTTTTGGCGAGCTTCGAAATCACTTGAAGCTTGCAACCAAGGCTCGGGTTCTTCATCACAAACTCATCCTTGAGTTCTTGATGGGTCTGCTGCACACACCTGCGACATGCCGAACGTTCGACAAGCGACAAAATAGAAACTGCGCATGACAAAATAGAAACCGCGCGGGACACACAAAATGACCGCGTTACACGCGACTAGCGATAATTCGCTATAGACTTGACACACACACACTCGACATCATGACTCAGCATTCACACACTATTATAAGCATGAAATATATATTATCCCATGCCCTCATACCATTCCATGCACACACGCATGCACGCATACGGACAACAAGCCGAGTGCAAACCGTAGGGTTGCACCAACAAGTTACACCTAGGGGACTGCTTTGCATTCATTGAGCCTTTTGTGGAATTGTAGGGAGGTCTTGTGACTCCTTGTGCCTTGCATGGTTGTTACCTATTACTTGCATGCTTGTACTTTGCTGCTATATCAATACAAGGACCATTAGAGAAAGAGAGGGGGAGAGAGAGAGAGAGAGAGAGAGAGAGAGAGAGAGAGAGAGAGAGAGAGAGAGAGAGAGGCAGCTAGTGACTTAGCCTCTCAAGCCTCCCCTAGCCTCCCTAGCCTCCCTAGTCCTAGTATAAAGGCCTCAGCAGGCCTTGTAGCCTCTTCATTATTCAGTTTTTGGTTGGGTTTCTCTCCTAACCGAGCGGCTCGCGCCGGCCGCCTTCGGCGGCCGACGCTCGACAGCGCGGCCTTCGGCCGCGCGCTTGGGAAGGCAAGTGTCAACACACACAACCGGCTATAATCAGGGGCACACACGCATAACGGGTTCATCTGCCTAAGAAGCACACGAAACAACAATGGAGCAGGAGGGGGAGGGCTCTAGAAGTGATCAGCATCAAGAACAGCAAGGAGCCCAGTCAGAGAGCGATGGAGCTCCCGCACCACCCCCGTGCTTGCGCCGATCACATCGGCTGCAGTCCCAGCGCGCAAAAAGCGCCTCAGGCCTCGTACAGCTATCCCCAGCTGCCCAACGCCCGCAACTGCTCCCCTCGCGGGAGCAGCCAACACGGGCGCCAGGAGCTCCGCGAGCCGATCCATGGCGTCAAGACACTCGTCCCGGGAACCGCCAACCAGAGTGTTCCCAAGGGAGAGACCCGCGTGACCGTATATCTGGATTAGGTGAACAGCCCGCAAACCCTCAGAGAGGCGCCACAGCTGCCCAAGGGTCGCCTCCGGAACCTCCGCCGCGCGGGAAGAACCCGCAAACGCCTGGAACGACTGTGCACCAGCAGCACGAGAAGCAGAGTCACAGGGCAGAAGGGACGGATAAGGAGCAGGGGGAGCAGGAGGCTGAGGAGCAACCGCCGCTGGTGCAGTCACAGGAGGTGCAACAGGAGGAGGAGCGGCAGTTGCACGAGGGAACTGCTGGTGTGCATGCAGGGCCCTCTCCTCGCGCATCGCAGCCGTCACAACCCGCTGCAAGTCCGCCATCGTCACCGGCCCATCAAACGCGCCGCCACGTCCGCGACCGCAACCTCCCCTCCAGCCCCCGCGCCCACCCCGTCGCGGGTGCCAGTTCCCGCCCGATGAGCGGCGTTGAGGAGACTCCTGTCGACGCCGCGAGGACTCCCGAGGGCGAATGGGGTCGTGATGGGCGGCGATTGGGAGACTGCGGACGACACGGCTGCCCAGGCGGAACCAACGGAGGCGCTACAGGCGCCGACTGAACAGCCTCGGCAGGCACCACCGCCGGGGCCGGGCCGCCAGTGGTGGCGGACACCGCAGCCAGCACCAAGTCGCCGCCAAGAGCAGTAGGGGCAGCGGCGTTCAAAGGGGCGGCAAGGACAGGGGCAACCAGTGGCACAACAACCGCAGCAGGTGCCACTTGCTCAGGCTCCGGGGGAACAGGAGCAAGAGGAGCGACCACGGCAGCCGGAGGCGCCGCTGCAGCCGGAGGATCGGGATGGGCTGCCGCAGGCCGAGCAGTTGGCGATGACACGGCTTTCGGGGCAGGCGGCTTTGGCGGCTTCGCCGCGACGTTTGCCGATGCAGTCACCGGCGGTGACTTTTCGCGCACCACTGACGCAACGACACCGTGCTCTGGCGACAGCTCGAGCCCACCAGCAATCACCATCGTGAGGAGGAAGGCGACGGGGCGCGGGACGACAAGGAGGAAGTGGCGAAGGGGGAGGACCTGAAAACGCGTTTCAGGCGGCTGGGCGAATTGCGCTAACACTACTAGTTGCGAACGCGGACCCGGAGAACGCGCAGGGAGCAGCTGGGGGACTGGCTTTAACTGGCCAAGACGAGACTAATGAGCAAGAGGAAAGGGCGGACCCCACTTATAGGGGGGAGCAGGGAATGCATCATGACAGCAGCGAGGACGAAGGAGGAGAAGAGGAGAGGGAGAGAGACGGACGAGGGAACGAAGTGCCCAGGCGTCATGGGGTAGCGGTGCAAAGGAACGAGGGTGAACCGCACGATGGCGATCGTACGGTTGGGAATCCAACCTTGCCGACCCAAGCAACATCGAGCCGCGCCCAGACAAATCGAGCCGCGCATCGCCAACCCAACGCGCCACAACAACCTCGCTATTTCTCACCAGACGAATTGGCGAGGCATCTTGACAGATTCGTGGCAGTCGCAAATTGGGAGATCACACCGCTCTGCGACAGTCGTCAGCCCCCGCTGTCACGCCGCATACCGCCAAATCTGTGCCAGCTGTTCTCTCTGGCCCTGCTAACCCTTCTTCTGCACCTGTCGCGAAACCCAAACTCCATCGCAGGCTGGCGCCTGCTGCTGTTTCTTCCCCGCCTGATCCTTCGCCAACCCTCGCCAAAGCGCCCTGACTGGGCCAAAATTAAGGCCCGGATTCGATCATTCCAACGTGGCGAATGGGAGCAGCTCTACACGGACGCCGCGGAAGCAGTCAACACCCCCCCACCCCCACGTCACCAACCTGACGAGATCGGGGTCATCAGTAGAGCAGAGGGCCTGGCAAAGCGGGGGAGTTTGCGTCGGGCCGTACTGGCCCTCGAGTCAACGCCGGTGTGCACTCCCAGCCCTCAAATTCTGACTGAGTTGCGACAAAACACCCGCCAGCTAGCCACGAGCCGCTGGCATGGCCACCCCACGACCAACCACAAAGCCTGAACATTTCCCACGCCGACTTCATCAAATTGCTGAGTCGCTGCGAGAATGGGGTGGGCGCCGGCCCGTCAGGCACCACATTCGAACACCTGCGCGACGCGGCAGTAACAAACGCGTCTGTCTGCACCCATCTCCACGCCCTGGTCAACACCCTGATGGGGGGAAAACTACCCCAGCCCGTGGCAGAACTTCTCACGTCATCGCGGCTGGTGGCACTAGCAAAGCCAGAAGGTGGTGCCCGCCCCATAGCAATAGGCGAGTGCCTCACCCGTCTAGCAGCAAAGGCCGCTCTGACGGTCATGGGAGAAGCAGCGCGGGATTTTTTTCTCCCTTTGCAATATGGAGTAGCCGTACCGGGAGGAGCTGAAGCGGTCATACACGCAGCACGGGCATTCACTAATGCACGGCCTGACTCGCTCATTCTGCTAACAGACCTATCAAACGCCTTCAATAGCATCTCACGACAGGCGATAGTTTCTGCCCTACAGGACCCGACTCTCGTGCCCCTGCTCCCGCTAGTCCAGCTAACCTATGGACAGCCGTCCCTCCTTTACGTAGATGCAGGGTTCGAAAGTGCCCCGCTAACCAGTGCACGCGGGGTACGTCAAGGAGACCCCTTGGGCCCGCTCCTCTTCGCAGCCAGTATCTATCCAGCGTTGCGAGCAACAGCAGCGGCTCACCCTGGCGTGTTGTGTCTGGCATACGCAGACGACGTTAGTTTCCTCGGAGAAAGAGCTGAAACAGTTGCAGCATTTACCCATTTCACGAGTCAACTAGCCGGAGTAGGGTTAGAGTATAACCCGGCAAAGTGCGCAGCGTGAAGCAAATCACGGATCACGGACAAGGAGGAGCTGCCACCCAGGGTGCCTTTCAGCCAGGACGGCGTTAGACTGCTGGGAAGTTTCTTAGGTACCGCGGGTGGGGCCGCATCGTTCCTAACAGACCAACTACGGTCAATGGCGAAGCCGCTACCGCTTCTAGAACGCACGGACCCACAGATCGCATCGCTCATCCTGACCCGCTGTATTTCCCGCCGAGTAGCTTACCTCACCAGTACCACCCCACTGAATCTCCTGCCGGGTGATGCGTGGTCGCAATGGGGTCGGGACCTGCTAGCCACTCTACTAGCATCGTGTGGAATCCGCTATCCGTCTAGTGTCATGGAGCAGACGCGCGTTTGGGACCAGTCTTCATTGCCACCGTCACTAGGTGGGATTGGTCTCACCGACCCCACAGTAGAAGGCGTTTCAGGCTTTCTCGCAAGTTTTACCCAAGCATCACTGCTGTTGAACTCTCTCCCGCTTGCTCCAGAGAACGTTTTGACCACGGCCAAGAACCACATGCTCCTGCCGCGTGACACAAGTACAGCCCTACATTCATGGCTACTGGACTGTGAGGCGGCACTGCCTCAAGAAGCACGAGAGATATTAGAGAAGGAAAGACTGGAACCGGCGGGAATTCGGCTACAGCACGCTCTCGCAGTACAAGTGCAGGGGAGAAGATACGCGAGGCAGGTACAGGAATCTAGGCACATGACATCGAACCCTCTGTGTGGACACACCCAACGTTTCCTCTCGCTGACCGGCTATGGTACAGGGGATTGGCTGCTAGCAATCCCCATTGAGTCAACAAGGCGGATCGGACCAGAGCACTTCGCGAATGCAGTTCGCTTCCGGTTGGGCCAACCCTTCGCTACACCAGCAAAGTGTGAATGCTCAAAACACGTCAAGATCACTGACCCGAGACTGCCCAACCACCTGTTTCGCTGCGGCACAGGAAAACACCGGATCAACACGCATAATGAGCTTCGAGATGCATGCGCCAGCATGGCACGGGATGCAGGTTCCATCGTTCACATGGAATCAGCAGCCTACTGTCCAGTGCAGGAGTAGACGGCAGATCTAACGATGATGGACAAAAGCTCAGGCGCAGTCTACATTTGCGATGTAACAATTACGGATCCCAACAGTACCCGGGACCCGACGGCCGCTAAGGGCAGAGGATGGGCAGCGAGGGAGCAGGCAGATAAGAAGATCCAGCACTATGCAAGCCGGCCTGACACAGTGGGCTTCTTCCCCCTTGCCGTTGAGACCTACGGGTGCCCTTGCGCGGAGGTGCCCGTGTTCCTGAAACTATTGGCGGATTCAGCTGCTAGGCGTCACTTCAACGCCGAACCTAACTCCTTTCACGCACCTAGATTCCTCCACCTTTTCAGGCAGAGGTGGTCCGTGGCGCTGCAGAGGGCCCAGACAGTGGGGTACCTTATGAAGTCTTGACAGGCGGCTATGGCAGAGCACCCCCCAGTTGGGGGTACGCAGCACAAGCTTCACCTTGGTGACTGCCTTTGTGTGATAGAGCCCCTGGTGGAGGCTTAGAAAGGGGTAGGCCAGCGGATGCCTAGGTTAGTTTTGCCTGGTTGCTTGATGTTAGATGGCTGTGTTTGTTATCTTTACAACTTGCATGCTTGTATTTTGCCGCTATATCAATACAAGGACCATTAGAGAGAGAGAGAGAGAGAGAGAGAGAGAGAGAGAGAGAGAGAGAGAGAGAGAGAGAGAGAGAGAGAGATTCTTCACTGGTGAGTTCATTTCACTCTCCAAAACCGGCGGCTTGTTCCACTCTCCAGCCCTCTCCAGCCTAGTATATAGCTCAGCTTGCTTGCTCACTCTCCTCATTGTTCAGTTCTTCTTCATTACCTTCTCCTAACCGAGCGGCTCGCGCCGGCAGGCAAAACAGGCATGGCAAGTCCTACCGCGGCCTAGCCGTGCACACCAATAATGGGGCAACCGGAGCCTGCATCTACATGCGGTGAGCTCCAAGGGCGTGAAGAACGCCCGTTAGGGAGCGCCACAGCTCCCGGACCACAAGCGTGCTTGCGCCGATCGCCGCGGCTCCAGATCCTGCGCGCAAGTGCCGCCTTAGGCCCCGGACAGCCTCGTCAAGCTGTCCCGCAGTAGCAGCGCCACCCTCCGCGGGCGCAGCCAACACGGGCGCCAGCAACGAAGCGAGCTGGTCCGCCGCGTCCAAGCATGTGTCACGCTGGCGGCCGCAGAAAGTCTCCGGAGGAATCACGGGGAGAGACGAGTGAGCGAGAACTTGAATCAGCAGCAACGCGTGGAGGCTCTCCGCGAGACGGTGGAGCTGGCCAAGTGTCGCCTTTGGAACACGCGTCTGCGGGGGCTGCAGCGCCTCCGTCAGAAATAGCAGCGGCTCATCAGCAGCATCGTGGTGGGAATGCTGAGCCGCAGCGCCACCCCCCGCAGCAACAAACTCCACCCCCGCAACAGGCGGAACCGGTGGCAAATGCAGACGAGAGCCGGGAGCAGGCGCCGAGACAGAAGGAGAAGGAGCCGATGGGGCGAGGGCAGGAGGAGGAAATGCAGCAGCTGGCGGAGGGGCTACGGGAGGCTCAATCTGACGAGGAGCCATGGGCGCTGGCGCGGCCCGCAGCGAACTGCTCTGACTCTGCGCCGCCCTCTTCTCGCGCACGGCCCGCAACACCTCCCGCTCGAGATCCGCCATTGTCACAGGCGGACGGTATCTCCCGCCACCACCACGCCCGTGGGGGCCCCTCCAGCCCCCATTGCCACCAGGGTGAGCAGGCCACTTGGCCTGCTGCTGGTAGCGCCGGGGAGAGTTGCGCCGGCGCCGCGACGTCTCGCGCTCCTGTTGGGGCGCGGGAGAATGGGGGCGGGATAGACGGCGGTCCGGCGACGGGGGACGAGACGACTGCACTACAGGGGCCGCCGGCAGCAGAGCGGGAGCCGTCGGGGCCGCGCCCGGAGGCGCAACCATCGGGGCTGGGTTGACAGTGGTGGCGGACGCCGCCTTCGGGGAAGAAGCAGACGCCGGCGCAGGCACGTCGGGGACAGAAGCGGCCGGTGCAACGAGTGTGCTAGGGGCAGGAACAGGGGGATCAGCAGCTTCCCCAGCAGGCGCAGACGCCGTCAGCGCAACCACGGGAGCCAGGGGAACGGGAGCAGCAGGCGGAGCGAGAGGAGCAACAACAGGGGCAGGCGGGCTAGCCTCGCCCGCGCCAAGGGGAGCCGCGGGTGCGGGGGGAAGAGTCCTTTCAGCGTCTGTTGTCGCGGGCTTTGGAACCGGCGGTACAGGAGGCTTCGAGGCCGTGGTCGCCTTTTCGGGCCCCGACTGAGGCCTGGCGACGACAGCCGACCAAGCGGCAGCGCGCTCTGGTGACTGCTCGTCAGCACCAGCAATCACCATCTCAAGCGCGGGGACGTCGCGGGACGGAACAGCTAACAGTAAGCGGGCCTGGCGGAGGTCCAGAGAACGGATACCAGGCAGCGGCAAGTGCGGCTTTAACTAACTTAGACACAGCTAATGAGGAGGACGAGCGGCGGGATCCCTCTTATAGGGAAGAAGCAACACCTGATAGCGAGAGCGAAGAGAGAGAGGATGAGGAAGGCGGGGCGAGGGAGAGCTCTGGAAGAAGGGAAGCAGTGGAGGAGCAAACACGCGTGGAAACGCACAAGGAGGCACGCACACCGCCCGATGCCGATCGGATGGAGGAGCTTCCAACCTCTGTCTCCTAGGCGTGAGCGGGTCGTGCTAGACGAAATCGGGCCGCGAACACGGGTGTTGCGGCAAGCCCAGCCGCTCCGATCCCCCAATATTTTTCGCCTGACGAACTGGCGAAGCGAACAGACCTGTTCGCTGCCATCGGAACCTGGGACATCGCAGCCCTGTGCGACAGTCGTCAGCCTTCGCTGTCGCGGCGCTTACCGCCAAATCTGTGTCAGCTGTTCTCGGTGGCGTTAATGACGCCGTTACTACACCTCTCTCGAAACCCCGAGTCAGAAGCGGCCCGAAATTCTGGAGGAGCTGCGTCAAAAGCACCCACCTGCTGCACACGAGGAGGTGATCTGGCCGACACAGTGCGAGTCAACACTTTCAATCGCCCATGCGGATTTCGCCAAAATGTTGGGCAGATGCGAAAACGGAGTTGGAGCCGGGCCGTCGGGGATGACATTCGAGCGTTTGCGCGACGCGGCTATCACAAATGCATCGGTCAGCACCCATCTGCACGCCATGGTTAACACCATCCTGGGAGGAAATTTACCAGGCTCGGTGGCAAACCTCCTCACCGCATCATGCCTCATTGCTCTGGCCAAACCGGGGGGCGGTGCTCGGCCAATCGCGATCGGCGAGTGCTTGACGAGGCTGGCAGCCAAGGCGGCCCTGACTGCGATGGGTGAAGCTGCTCGCGAATTCTTCCTCCCACTACAGTACGGCGTGGCAGTGCCAGGTGGCGCCGAGACTGTAATCCATGCGGCCAGAGCTTTCCTGGATGCCCGCCCCACCAGCCTAGTTCTGCAAGCCGACATAAAGAACGCATTCAACAGTATTTCGCGACAGGCCATCGCCACTGCGTTACAATCCCCCGACCTCTCGCCACTACTGCCGCTCGTCAAATTAACCTACGGTAACCCGTCGCAGCTACTCCTGGATGTCAACTTCAACTCCGAACCCCTGCATAGCGAACGCGGGGTCCGTCAGGGGGACCCACTTGGCCCGCTACTGTTTGCGGCGGGGATACATGCCACACTTCGCGAAACTGCAGATGCTCACGCTGGTGTGCTCTGTTTGGCATATGCGGACGACGTGACATGCATAGGGGACACCGAAGACACTGTAGCAGCATTTACCCAATTCACGAGCAAATTGTCACTACTGGGGCTCGAGCACAACCCACAGAAGTGTGCAGCCTGGAGCTCGAGCGAAGTCGAAGCAGCCCACCTACCTCCAGGGGTGCCGTTCTCACAGGACGGCGTGCAACTACTAGGCAGCTTCATGGGGCCCGACAGCGGCGCGGCGACCTTTCTAGCAGGACAGCTGGATGACATGGCGAAGCTGCTGACACTCATCGAACGGACGGACCCCCAGGTTGCGGCACTACTCATCACGCGCTGCATTTCGAGGCGGGTCGCATACCTTACAAGGATGACGCCCCTAAACCTCCTCCCCCGCGACAGATGGAGCCAGTGGGGTATGGACCTGCTCACCACGCTCCTTACCGCTTGCGACATCTGCATGCCGACCTGCAGTGCAGAGCAAACACGGGCCTAGGAGCAGGCGTCGTTACCTCCGTCGTTGGGAGGTCTCGGAATCACGAACCCCCTCATCGAGGGGATTTACGGATTCGCGGCGAGTTTTACCCAGGCGGCGCTCTTTCTCAACAACCTCTTGCTGGGAGAAGAGAACGCGCTTACACTGGCACGGAATCACATGCTCCTGCCACGGGACAGCAGCACGCCACTGCACACTTGGCTGACGGGGTGTGAGAAGGCACTACCAACAGACGCTCGGGAGATATTAGAAAAGGAGGGTCTGGAACGCTCTGACATTCGGCTCCAGCGCGTGCTTGGATTGAAGGTGCACGGGAGTAGGTACGCCGTGCAGGTGCAAGTGACAAGGTGCATGCGGCTGAATCCGCTTGCGGGCCACATGCAACGAATGTATTCCCTGACGGGCTATGGCACCGGCGACTGGATCACGGCGATCCTGGTCGAGCCCACGAGACGGATTGGGCCGGTACACTTCGCTAACGCCGTACGCTTCCGCCTGGCATTGCCATTCTCAACCCCCAGGAATTGTGACTGCTCGGAGCACACGGCCATCACTGACCCCCGCCTCCCCAATCACCTGCTTCGCTGCGGCACGGGCAAGCACCGCATAAACACTCACAATGAGCTGCGGGATGCCTGCGTTAGCATGGCGCAGGATGCGGGCTTTATAGTTCACCGGGAGTCCACCGCCTACTGCCCCATCGAAGAGCAAACGGCGGATTTCACAATGTCGGACAGGAGCAGCGGGGCGGTTTACGTTTGTGACGTCACCATCACTGATCCTATAAGCACCAGGGACCCGGAGGCTCAGAAAGGCAGGGGATGGGCGGCGCGTGAACAAGCCGACAAGAAAATTCAGCATTACGCCAAGCGCCCGGAGACAGTAGGTTTCTCCCCCCTAGCAGTGGATACCTACGGCTGCCCGTGCGCAGAGGTACCCGTCTTCCTCAAGCTCCTTGCAGACACAGCGGCTCGGCGGCACTTCAACGCCGACTCAAAATCCTTCTATGCCGCCAAGTTCCTGCATCAGTTCCGCCAGCGATGGTCAGTGGCCCTGCAAAGGGTACAATCGGTGGGACTCCTAATGAAGTTGGGTGAGGCAGCCGCAACAGAGAACCCTCCAGTGGGAGGCATTGGACACGAGCTGCACCTCGGGGATTGTTTTGCAGTAGTGGAGCCTCTTCTAGAGCTATAGAGTGTGAATTGGATAGGATCTTAGTACTGCTGGATTGGTTGTACGCCCTTCCCTACCTTGCATGTGTGTACCTACCCGACCTATCAATATACGGACCATTATAGAGAGAGAGAGAGAGAGAGAGAGAGAGAGAGAGAGAGAGAGAGAGAGAGAGAGAGAGAGAGAGAGAGAGAGAGAGAGAGAGAGAGAGAGAGAGATGGCTTGGGGCTAGTCCTTAGCCGTTTCTCAGCCTCTTAGTCTTAGTCTTCAGTCCTTAGCCGTTTTTCAGCCTAGTTTCCTAGTATAAAGCCCTTAGATGCACCTTTCTGAGCTCATTCTTCACTGGTGAGTTCAGTTCACTCTCCAAAACCGGCGGCTCGCGCCGGCCGCTCGCTAGCGCGGCCTTCGGCCGCGCGTGAGGGGTGGCAAGGTCAAAGGGAACTAGGACTATATCAAGGGGAAGTACAACATGCAGTACTAACCAGCACACAACAACAACAACACCCCCGGGCGTGGAGTAACCGCCATGGGGAAGCCCAAGGCCAGGCCCAGCACCACAGGGGCGGCCAAGGGAAAGACAGCAGCTACTCGGACAGGATCCAGCAGAGTCTCCCGTCCATCCAGCGCAGGACGGATGCGGCTACTGACACGAGGCCGAGCGGCGCCCCCCGGACAGATTCGGCAAGCTGCAGCAAAGCCCGGGGGCCGGGCCCGAGCGCAGCATCAGGGGAGCCAGGCATGTAGCCAATCAAGGGGAGGAAATGATGCAGCTCCCCCGCTGCTGACTCAGCCGCCGCCCGTTCGGTTGGCGACAAGCCCTCGATCTCAAGACCCTGTCGGGACAGGCACAAATGAAGCTGATCAAGCACGTATGACAGGAGAGTCAGACAAGTCCCCACGTTCATTGCGCGCTCAGCGACGCCATCGGGGAGGCTCCCGCCAGCAGGACTCCACCCCGCCCCAGGAAGCACAGCATGTGGAGCCGGTGGTGCTGAGGTCAGCAGTCCCCATGGGATTGGCACCTCCTGCCCGCCAACGAAGAGCCGAGGGTACGAGCCTGCGCTCAGCCCGGGCTGAGAAGGGGAGGAGGAGCGAGGGGGAGGAGACGATGGGACCGGAGCGGACGGAGGAAGAGGCTGCTGCTGCAGTGGAGGCTGGAACCGGCGCTGAGGCTGCGGCGGAGACGGTGGAGGCCGCGACGGCTGGTGCTGTGGCTGTGGCATTGCCCGAGGCGTTTGTGAATACGGGGCCTGAGGCTGCGATTGGTGGGACAACTGGCGCAGCTGCTACTGCTGGCGTGCCTGCCGCTGCCTCTGGCGACGGCTCAGTTTCACATTCTGCCACCCCTCATGCTGGGCCACTGTCTCCCGAGGAGCGGGAGCCGCCGGCGGAACGGGGACAGGTAGGGGAAGGGGAGCTGGCTGCGTCCCCGGAGCCGATGGGGCCGGCTGTGATTGCCGCGGTCGTGACTGCCGTGGAGAGACGGGATGGCCAGCCGAACGGCGAGGAGCGTACGGCTGCCGCTGTGTTCGCCGGAACTTCTGTTGCTGACGAGGGCGCAGACATGCAGGGGCACGGCCAGGCGGCGGGCGATAGTCAGGGGCCCGCGAACAGCGCTCCTTCCGGCGTCTCGAAGGCGAAGCCGAAGAGGAAGCTGCGGGTACAGCCAGCGCCAAGACGGCCCGGAGCAGGGCTGGGACCCGGCGCCCCGGGACCCCTCCTGGGCTGGCTTCTGCAAGGGCAGCCGCCACGAGAGTCAGAGCGTCGGGGGCCATCCCAGGGTGACGCGCCCGCACTGTCCGCCGCCGCGCAAACGGCTTCGCACGCGCCAGCAACAGGGGCGCCGAACCTGGGCGGAGGTAACGGAGTGGCACAGGCTGCAGCGGTGGCACCAACGGGAGCAGGTGGGGACACTACGGCGGCAGCAGTAGGCACCAGACGCTCAGCAAGGCTCGGGGCGATCACGTGGGGGCCGCCACGAGGCGGACGGACACCGTGGGTGCCGGCAGGCCGCGGCAACGGCGTGGTGGAAACGACGGGAGCAGCGGGAAGGGGACAACGCGGGGTTTTACGCGGGGGGACGAGAGGCGGAAGGGGAGGGCGCAATCAAGCGCCTAGGGCGGAGATACCAGTGAGGACCGCTCCCTGGCGAGAGCGCCACGATAGGCCAGAGAGAGTGATCCCGCAGGCGGAGAGGGAACAGGAGGCTTCTGACAACTAGGGGGCCGACCCTGAATTTATGGCCGGGGTGGAAGAAGCCTCAGAGGAAATCTCCCTTGACGATGAGACCACACCCAGGAGGAACAACCCAGAACCCCGGGCAAGGGAGGCGGCGGCGGGCATCCCAAGTAACACAGGGGAACCTGGAGCTACTGCCACGGAGGAGACCGACGTGCCCTCTCCAGCTGATCTGGCACGCGACGATGCCATATGGAACCTGGCAGGGGAGTGGAATGTGGACGTGCTTCAGAGGGGGGACCAGCCATTCCTCGTCCGCCGGCTGCCACCACAACTCCTAGACAGATACTGTCTGTGCATGCTGGCAACGCTTATCCGCCTCGACAAAAACCTGAGCTGCCTGGGTGGCTGGAAAGCGCTGCTATTCCTGCCGAGGCTCACTCTTAGGCCAGCACCCGAACCTGTTCTGGGGAGTCGCTGGGCAGGAATTGAAACACGGCTGCACAAGTTTCAACGAGGCGACTGGGCCGAGCTTTTCGAGGAGGCAGGGGTTATCCCCGACACAGGCAACCCGGCACGACACCAGGCAGACGTGGAGGGGATTTGTGCACGGGCGGAAGTTTTAGTGAAAAAAGGGAACATTGCGAAGGCGGTAGCGGCGCTGCGAACAAGCCCTATGGCAGAGGCAACACCGGCTACACTCGAAGCTCTGCAATCGAAGCACCCTGCAGCGGGGAGCCCAATTCCGGCCTGGGTTACCGGAATCACAGACTCCGAACTCACGGTCCCGCTGGATTCGCTTCGCGAAATCCTAGCGAAATGCCCGAACGGGGTGGGGGCTGGACCGTCCGGCACTTGTTTCGAGCACCTCAGAGACCCAACCCTGGCCAATGAAGAACTGCTGCTGCTTTTCGCCAAGGTCGTCAATCGTCTGCTCAGCACCTTTCAAGCCTCCCCCGTTCGAACACTCCTCCTGCCTTCTCGTCTGATCGCTCTAGAGAAACCGAATGGTGGCGTGCGACCTATAGCGATCGGCGAAACGCTGCTCCGCGTTGTAGCAAAGGCGGCGCTCCATATTCTAGGACCTAAGATTAGGGATTTTTTCCTGCCGGTTCAGTTCGGTGTTGCGGTCCCTAGAGGAGCGGAGTGCATCATACACGCTGTCCGCGCCCTTCTCCGAGACAACAAGTCCCGCATCGCCCTCCAGCTCGATGTCGAAAACGCCTTCAACAGCGTTGAGCGTCAAGCCTTCCTAGGCGCACTGCAGTGGTCGAGCCTAAGCCAGCTGCTCCCCCTAGTCCGCAATCTCTACGACGGACCCTCGCCCCTGCTCGTCGACGCCCGCCTGGGCGTCAACTCCATCCTGAGCTCGAGGGGCGTCAGACAGGGGGATCCTCTGGGTCCTCTCCTATTCGCGGCGGCGATCCAGCCTACTCTCCTGAGTGTTTCGGCATCATCGCCAGAGGTTGCTGTGGTGGCCTATGCGGACGACATTACTATTGTCGGCCCTCGGGAAGAAGCGTGCCTCGCGTTCACCAAAATTGCAGGCGAGCTGGCCGTGTTCGGGCTGCGATGCAACGTCTCAAAGTCCTCGGCGTGGGACGCCATGAGTGATGGGGCACACGGAGAGCTACCACTGGGTTTAGCCGCGAACATGGGCGGCCTCTGGGTCCTCGGCAGCCCTATCGGCAGCGACGACTTCTGCACCACCCAGGTCCGAGCGGCGCTGGAGGAGGCCGCCCTGCCACTCTTCCTCGTCTCTCAGCTGAACCCGCAACACGCCATGCTGATCGTCTCACGTAGCATCTCCCGCCGCATCTCCTACATGCTGCGGACAACGCCGGCTTCAACACTGAGCCCGGGAGAGTGGAGGGAATGGAGTGAGGCGCTGGTGGGTTCAGCACTCACAGCCGCGAAGCTTCGCATCCCCACGTCGGAGCTGGAGCAGAGCTTACTGTGGCGGCAGGCTACCCTCCCGATTCGCCTGGGGGGTTTGGGGATCATTGACCCCGTCTCGGAGGCACCGGCAGCCTACATTGCCTCTGTGACAGCGGCGCACACCCTTCTGCAGCACCTTAACCTGCCCCCGGACGGCCTGCTACACAGAGCCACGAGCCTCCTCTCCCATGACTGGACCCCGCTGCCCCCAGACAGTAATGTCCTGTCACGCCTAGAGGAGAGACTACCGGCACAGGCACAGGTGGCGCTGAGCGCCTACAGAACAGGGACGAACGGCACGGGGAGTCTCCAGCTGTGCCTCTCCAAACTCATCAACCAGCAGCGCGTGGTGGAGCTCTTGGGGGACACAGTGGTAGATCGGCCTGGCAACAACAGGGGCCACGCGCTGCGGCTGATCAGTCTTAAAGGGACAGGCGCGGGTGACTGGCTACACGCGGTACCGACGAGAGGTGACCTCTCCATTTCCCCTGGTCAATTCTCGTTGGCCCTAGGCCTTCACCTTGGCATGGAGCTCCCAGTGGCTGACGCATGCCCTTGCAATCGGGACAACTCGGCGATCGGGGACAAAAGCCTCCCGAACCATCTACTTTGTTGCCAGGATGGGGGGGACGCGGTCAGGACCCACAACGCCCTGGTGTTCGCGGCGCTGCGCATGGCTAACGATGCTGGGTACAAGACGTTTCACGAAACTTCTGCCTTCTCGCCGCCGGTGCTGAGGAAGCGAGCTGACCTGGCCATTCGGGATGAAGAATCTGGAGAAACATGGGTGAGCGACGTCACCGTGACAGATCCCGTGCTGCAGAACAGATACAGCAGAGCGCGTAGGCCGCCAGGGTGGGCGGCGGAAGAAGCCTCACAGAGGAAGCACCGGCTCTATGAAGAACGCACGAGCTACGCGGGGTTCTTTGGGCTTGCGGTTGAGACATATGGGGCTATGGCGGCCGACACAGTCCAATTTCTACGCATGCTAGCCACCCATGCGGCAAAGACCAAGTTCAGGAAAGGGCGGCTTACAACTACCGCCGCTCGGCTCAACGCGCATTACCGCCAGAGATGGTCGGTGATGCTGCAGCGGAGCCAGGCCATCTCCCTCCTGTCCAAGTCCAACCGCGCAGCAGAAGCAGCATTCCCGCAGGCCGCGGGGGACCCATGGGCTCCACGGATGGGGGACCTCTGGCAGATGATAGAGGATGAGTATGAGGAGAGAGAGGCCCCTGCCAGAGCGGCTTAGAGGGGGGAAGGGGTAGCGGGATGAGCATAAGGGGGAGCCAGGGGAACTAGGACAGGAGGGAAGAGGAGTTTCGGGCCGGGAGAGGAGAGGGAGGTCCTCAGGGACAGGAGGTGCTGCTGGCCGGCTGCTTTAAGCTCTCAGGAACTAGTCTGGCCGCACGGAAGGAGTGCCTGGCTGGCTCGGCCTGTTTGCTTGCTTGCTTGCTTATTTTGCTTGGTTACCTGCCTGTGTGCTAGTCCTTAGATCCTTGGTGCCCACATGTTTAGACGGGCTAAGCTATGACCACCCTCTGCCATGCCTGTACCCTTTGGCCACTATCAATACATGGCTGCCCCTGCGCGGAGGTGCCAGTCTTCCTGAAGCTCTTGGCGGACACTGCAGCTCGGCGCCACTTCAACGCCGACTCCAAATCGTTCTATGCTGCAAAGTTCCTGCACCAGTTCAGGCAACGCTGGTCGGTGGCCCTGCAAAGGGCCCAATCTGTGGGTCTCCTGCTCAAGCTTGGAGAGGCTGCGGCAGTAGAAAACCCGCCTGTGGGGGGAATTGGGGACGAGTTGCACCTTGGGGACTGCTTCGCGGTCATTGAGCCCCTAGTGGAGTTGTAGATCTGTGGTGCTTGTGCTTTGCATGTGTGTAACCTATGACTCTATGACTTGCATGCTTGTACTTGCCGTCTATATCAATACAAGGACCATTAGAGAGAGAACGCGGTCCGGAGAACGCGGTCCAAGCAGCTGGGCGACGGACTTTAACCTCACTAAATGAGGATGACAAGCGCGACGACCCGACTTATATAGGAGATGCACAGGCATCAAGCAGTAGCAGCGAGGGGGAAGGGGAAGAGGAGGTGAGAGAGCAGATGGGGAGGCGGGGTGGAGTGACTCAGAGAGAAACGGATGGGCAATCGGGAAGGAGAGAGCCACAGGATGGGGATCGGACGGTCACCATCCCAACCCCGATGCCCACCCGCACCCCGAGCCGCGGACGAGGAAATCGAACCGCGAGGAGTCAAGCACACGCGGCCCGACAGTCTCAAAACCCGCGCTATTACTCGCCAAAAGAGCTTGCTGTGAAGGCCGAATTATTCACCAAGGTGGCGAATCAGGACATCGCACCGCTCTGCGACAGCCGCCAACCGACACTGTTACGACGGCTACCGCCAAATTTGAGCGAGATTTTCTCGCTGGCAGTACTAGCACCCCTTCTGCACCTCTCGCGAAGCCCGGACTCGGTCGCAAGTTGGCGGTTACTGCTTTTTCTCCCACGCCTGACACTGAGACAGGGTTCGTCGAGGCGACCGGATTGGCCAAAAATCAAGGCCCGTCTCCGCGCTTTTCAACGCGGCGAATGGCAGCAACTGTACCTAGAAGCGGTGGAAGCAGTCAACACCCCGCCCCCGCCACATCACCAACCTGACACCCTCGGCATCATCTGTTAGAATCTAGCAGCAGGAATGAATGCACTATGGAAGAGTTGGGTACAAGTATGAAACCCTAAACGGGGCTGTACCCCATATTGGCTACCCCACTACAGCCTACACACATATAACATGCATATACTTTGACACACCCCCATAGGCAAAGTGGGGGAGAACAAGCGGTCACAAGACCAGTCAAGAGAAACAAAGCAAGCTCAGGGTGGATCACAACGTCACCACACACACTGAGCACAAGCAAAGGGCCACAAGGCCAGTTTATATGCAGAGGCATATATGCAACAACGGCAGCACAGTGATCTCTACCTAGCAGAGCAAGCATGCAGGTATATGTATAGATCACAGTACAGGCAAAGTCTACAGCAAGTGAGAAAACGTGGGCACAAGGCCTAACAAAGTACAAAAACGCTGATGATCA